TAGGAGTAGCTCCTATTGTTGCATTGGTGTTATACCACATTCTGTGCCCCATAGGTCAAATATATGATGGGGCACAAATCGGTGCATCATTGGATCCTGACGTCTATGGAGCTTACCATGGCTGAGAGCGGGTCACGGCTTCAGAGCCACCATTGTAGGAGGATGGCTCTGGTGTGATTTAACTTAAAAAAAACTTTTCTCTGTTAAACTAAATAACCACATTCAGTACCTGATTTTTTTACCTGGAGTCAATTAACAGAAACTATTTAGCTTTTTCAACTTCAGTGAAATGTTGCCAGAGTGCCTACGCTAACAGTGCCACCATACTCTGATCGCTAATATGCCCCTCCGTCGCATCGCTGACTATTTAGTTGCTTTTGATCACACCTTTATATAGGGATATCATGAAAATCACTGTATTCAGTCAGTGCACAGGCGTATGGTGTGAACCATACTATTAATCATAATTGTAAAATTAAGCCGTTGCTTATCCTTATAAATTATGAAAAGCTCTTGTTGTCAGGTAAATCAAAAAAATAAATCAAATAAATTCTGTTTTAAATGTAAAATAAATAACACAACTGAGTCAAATGTGTTTAAGGCTGAGCATTTTCAGGATATCTAGTCTGCTTCATGGATCGCAGTTACACCTCACATTCTCCATGTTTCTACCAGCAATTGTAATCAGACAAGTACGAAGAGCCTATTTTAGTTTAATATCTGATCCTTAGTAACTAATATAAAGTCTCTATCAGCCTCTGGATAAAAGAAAAGTGGCTAAAACATTTATTTTATTTGACTAATGGATTTATTTCATGAGAACTGTGCAAGAAAGAATAACATTCTTGTAACTAATTCTCAAAAGCAAACACTTTAAAACCAACATGAGAAAAGATTATTTGATATCTTAAAATGAAAAGAGAAGTAAATTACAAGCACTGATCCATCATAAATTTCATCTGAAAAAATTATGTTACCATTTATAAATGTTATTAATAGTCAAGATCTTTACCCACAACCCAACAGAGGACAAAGGCATTTCAACTCGTGTATAACCACATTTAAAGTCAAACAAATGTCTCCACACTAAGGCTTCTGGTATTTTTCATATGAAAGAATGAAACTTAAATTTTACTAGAAAAAATGTTTAGATGCTGCTGGTGAGGTATGTTCCCTTAAGGTCAAAAGCCCTTAAGTCATGCATCCGCTGCGTCAGACTGCTATGGTGGAGACTTTTTAATGCTGTGGGGCTAATTCATTATGCACACACAGAGACTGAAAGGAGAAAATCAATTACACAGAAAAACAAAAAGTCATTATGTTCTTATGCATCTGTGACTCTGCTCACATTTGCTTTATGTGATTAAAATATCATTATCAGGTTATCAATGTATTAAGGAAAAAACTGTCACACAGTTCTGTGTTATTGATCCAACTTGTTAGACAGGTAATACAAGGTGATTACTGTGCAGGTTTTTATCTCTGATACACACTCACACAGCAAAACCCTTGTATGTTACAAAATATTTTGAGTTCTGTAAATAAGTATAGCAGCACTGTAACTCCAAACCAATCAGGATTAAAGTGTATTACTATTATCAAACTTACAGAAACAGGACAACCCCTGTGTTTGCCATGGCGTATGCAAGTCCCAATATTCCACTTCCCATGATTGCATTGCCCAGGTTGAAGACGGACATGCCGAAGGAGGTTTTCCCTTCAAACTGTAACCAAGGCAGGACAGGGGGTAGGATTAAGGGGAGTAATATTTCTGTAAATAACCTTGAGTGAGGTATATAATCAAGATGAGCTGTGTGTGTTAGCTTACATCTGTGAAGCGTGGGGTTTTCTTGTCGTCAGCGCCTGATAAGAACTCCTGGCTCTCTGGGAGGTTGGCTTCTGTGTTTTCAGTTCTGTGAGGACTAAAGATAAGTAAGAAAAAGAAACACATACCATAAATCCAAATTTTTGAAATCCATTTCTTTTTTTCTTTGAAAATATGCATTTTGTGAATAGATTGAGATGAGTTATACAACTATAATATCACTGATACTTGTTAGCAGCAGCATCTAAGAGTCATTTCACACCTTGAACCTTTCCCCCTGAATTTTTGTCACATGGCAGTCACAAACTTTACTGTATGTTACTGGGATTTAATGTGATAAGACAAGCCTACTTACCAGGGTTAAGACAATAATTTCTGGTTTTTAACTTTGCATAATCACTTCTCACTGAATTTAAACCTAGTGACATTTTAAGGATTTGTTCAGCATTTGTGTTAGCATGTACAGATAAAAAAATATTTTTATTTAAATTTGTTTTATCACAGAGCAGTTACATTTATATAGAAACTTGACTATACACAGATTGATTCTATTTATCATGGACGTCATTTAGGTCAACATAATTCAGAGATCCTCACTAGAGAGTTTGCTGCAAAGGGGCCAATATATTTTGCATGCCTCACTCTTCAGTCTTTTTTTGCTTAAAAATGTTTAAAGAATCCAATAAATTTCTTTACAAATTTATAAATAGGATATGACAGACATGTCAAAGAACAAATATTCCCATAAACAGATTAAAAACACCTTTTTTTGTCTATATAAAATCAGTTTATTAAAAATACAAATTTGTTTATAATTTCTATAAATTCCTAAATGAGTGAAAGTTTAAAAGAAACGTAAGATTTGAATATTTACATTAAGATCTAGGTTAAGAAGTCAAGCAAAAGAGAATGTTCTCTTCTATTACAGTGCTTTTTCCCATAGTATTGCTATGACATTTTTTTTAGCAAACAATGTCGTTCCTGATTTTCTGAAATAATGTCACTCAGCTCCAAAGCCTTAACAACAGCTTCAAATGAACACCATTATTAAGTGCTCAGAGCATTTAAGGGACCTAAAAGGATTTTAATGTGCTGCACTCACTTTTCACAGTCTTCTGCAGGAGGTGTTTTTGCAGATGGCATGGTGTCCTCTCCAGGTTCATGGCCCTTCCCATTAGGAATAGCATTTACGTCTGCTGGGGATATTTCCACAGTCTCAGTTGGTTTATCCTCACTCATGTCTCCTCAGGTTAATAATAATGTGTCCTTTTAAATGTGCTTGATTGTGGTAAGGCCTTTGAAAGGGATGTTTTGGTGTTCCTCCTTGGATCTATGTAAGAGAGACAATAACAAAATAGAGGTGATAATACGATGCTACATTGAGGAAGCCATTAATAAATCAAGAGATTGTGTAAATTAGTTTCAAATCTTTCTGCTGGAGAGAAAAATTATTTATCTCATAAACATATGAGAGAAAGAATGATATAGTAACACCCTAGACACCATTTCAACATTTATAGCAGCTATGTAAATGAAAGCTACAGTGTACTAATTGACACACGATGTGCCCACGTGGACAGAATTGTTAGACTCCTTCGTTTAATGAAAAAAGGAAAAAATACACAATCGTCACAAAAATCACTTGAAACTAACAAAAGTAATAATACATAGGAATTCTATGAAAGTGAACAAATGCATCAGACTTTTTATTTTTCAACCATGCTTCAACAGAATGATTTTAAAAATAAACTCATGAAAAACAGGCCTGGATGAAAATTATGGTATCCCTAGAAACAGCAGAAAATAATTTGACCAAAGGGACATTTAAATCAAAGTCTGTCCTCTAATTAGCATCACGGTTGTCTATAATCTTGTAATCAGTCAGTGGCCCTATATATAGAGCTACAGCTGGTCACTGTGCTGTTTGATAACATGGTGTGTACCACACTCAACATGGACCTGATGAAGCAAAGAAAAGAGTTGTCTCAAGAGATTAGTCATGCCAAATGTAAAGCTTTTAAGACCATCTCCAAGTAGGAAAATATTGGACTATTCTGAAGTGTCCTTCTCTGAACCATGACCTAAATCCTATTGAGCATCTTTGGAAGGAGCTGAGACAACTGGAGCAGTTTGCTTATGAGGAGTGGCCAGAATACTTGCTAAGAGGTGTGTAGGTCTCATTGACAGTTATAGGAATTCTTTGATTGCAGTGAATGCCACAAAAGGTGTACAACAAAATATAGAAGAGCAGAACAAGACTCTTCCTGAAAAAAATAAGCTAGAAAAAAAAGCACATGCATTGCATTCACACTCAAACATTCCCACTATTGCATTCACACACAGTCATTGATCTCCACTCTTCCAACACAAGGATGTACAAGAATGAACAAACACTCCACAGTCTCACTTCACTCCTAGATCTAAATATTGATACCCTAATGACCAGTACTTGGATCCTAGAGGTGTTCCATTCATTCCTGGGTGTAAACAGGCTGACTGACCAGATAACCAGTTAAGGTTAGGGCTGGGAACCACCTGAAGCCAACGGATGCCGGTTTAAACACATAACCCTCCAATGGCCATGGCCTCCAACAACCATAGACCTCAGAGGTAGGAGCAAAACAATGAAAAAAAAGAGGAAAAAAAAAAAACTAAGTGGACCAGCAAACCACAGCTGCCTTTAGGATGTCAGAATCACACACACCCAAGAAGCTGAGATGTCATCTCAATGAATAACCCATGAAAACCCCATATATGAACCCCCCAACAGCTCCACCTATAGCCAGGAAACAGAAATCAGTTTCCTGTTCTTAGCTGAGAGAACGGGCATATAGTGTGGTCTTTTGCTGCTGTAGCTCTGTTGTGTTTATTCCTCATACCTTAGATCCAAAGACTGGTGGAGGAATTTATGTGCTTTTTCCTTTTCTAAAAAACTCAAATCAGCCTATCCAAGACCATCAAAAATGCCCCATAAAGGACACTTAGTCTGTGCTCACAGAAAAGCTCTCAATGCCCAGTTTTTACACATAGGCTACTTTCATACAACTAAATATGACCCCATCAGACTTCTGTCTAAATGGCTCAAAAACTCAAAGACACCCCCCCCCCACACACACACACCTCATAATTAAAGACTGTAGGAATCACACATGAGTGCACAGTGCAAGTAATAACGGATGTCAGTTATTAGAATTGTTCCAAAGAGTTTTATTTTTTTAAGTATAATACTGACACATATCCAATTTAGCAAAACATACTGAGATTGCTAAAAAAAAATTTTAAGGCAAAAATATTTCATTTGGGTTGCAGGATATATCTGAAAAAAAAAGTCAGATATGTGTTGCATTAGCAAAAATATTTCATGACATGGGTTGCATTTGCCTGCTGCATGAGTGTAGCCATAAATGCCATTTCCATCTCGTTCTTATGGTTGGCTCTAACAATAAGAGTCGGCCTCACTGTTTGTAGATTCCTAAGTGTGTTAAGTTTTAAGAGACTGTGTTTGACCAAACAATGAACAGGTGTACCCAATAAAGTTGCCTATTTATGTCTGAAACTAAAATCGGGTACTTGTAACTACTCTTTGTTTTCTTTTTATAATAAGAGGGGTATTCTGATTCTACTTTTCTGAAGAACTGCAGTGAACCTGTGTTGGAGTTTGTCTCAGTAATTAAAATAAACATCTAGTTTATCTGCTGTGCAGTAGAACTAAGCAGTATGTGTTAGTTTTATTTGAAAAAAAATGTATTTTGGAAGAACAAGAATAAACCTAAAGATTCAAATTTTCAGTGTGTAATTTAACACTAAATAATGGTTTGGTTGTTTGCAAAACTAAAAAAGCTGTATTAGAAATCAAACCAAACCCTCACTCACAATGCAGGATAAAGAGTGAATGGCGTGTTTTGGTATATCCATGAATAAGTAACACATTAATTGACAGGTTGCCCTTGTTGAGAAAATGGAGCTTTTAGCCGGGCTGTCATACTGGGCCTTGAATCATGCCTTCATTTCCTGGGGATCTTGTTGTAATGTATTAGCTGACCAGCCAGCTTGTGGGGCCCCAAAAGGCCCCAGTGACATGTATCTCCTAGATGCCATTGACTAATTCCCCCCTGTCTATGTGGCCCTTAATGAACTCTTTTGCTGCAGTGCATAAACAGGGGTTGGAATGGCAACCATGTTGGGATCTGTAGCGAAGGAACACACACAAATGTTTTAACTCCCCTCACACTGGTAAGATGAAAAGAGAAGAACCAGTCAGGACCAGCTACGAACCAGCTCTAGCTGTCTTTGTGGCTCCATTTCTCAGCTTGTCACTTTTCTCTTGGTTTCCTCTTTTATTGTGGAGGGTTCAGCACAACCACAATGCCCAGGGCTCTCTCTGCAACAATTACTGGCAACAACTCTGCTGGCCTCTTTTTCTTCAGGGCTCTTTTGCTTCTCTTCCTGCTCTTTTTACGGAGGCTTAAACTGGAAGGGAATATTCCTAGAACTTAACTACCCTGTTAGGTGAAACACCTCAAGCCTTCACCTAGCAGTTCTCTGAACCTACCAGCAACATAATTGTGAGCTTCACTGCACAGACAAACCTCTTGGTGTCCCTGGGTAAAGCTGGGTAACGTGGCCGGGCAGCAAAGCACAGGGCACAATGGCACATGTTGTGCGGTTTCCTGGGAACCGGTTGGGGAACAGTGGTACTATTGTGCCAGGCATCATTATGCAGCCAGGGCCCCTTGGCTGTAGTGCGCCAGGGCACTCGAGAGGCTGAAAAGGTATTTCACTCCCTAATTGAAAAGACGGCACCTTGAATTCAGCAAATGCCAGTATCCTGCTTTCACACAGAGTTTTAGCATAGCTGCTGACGGCAGCGGCTGAGGCTGGACCGGCCTCTTGTGACAAATCACTGCACAGAACCGCAATGCCACTCAGAAGGTCCACAACTCACTGGGATGGAGCAGCCATTGACAGACAGCACTCAATGAGCTCTCCAGCTCCTCCTCAACGCCTCCAAGCAGTGGTGCTTCAACTAGAAGACATGATTATCCTCAGTTGTGTCTTTTTCAATGATCATGTTCAGCATTACAGAATGAAGTGAATACATTGTCACTATGGGGTGAAAATTCACTTGTTGGTCAGAATATTTCACCCATAGAGAGGTTTGAGGGAAGCAAGTGAGTGTATAGCAGGGGAGGCTGAAAACATGTATGGGAATATAATGGGTCCAAAGAAAGTGAAAAATATGTATTTAAATGCCAATTAAAAATAAGCATTAAGGACTTATTTAAAATACATTAGTGTTAGGTTAAAGTGTCTTTCAAAAAATATCCCTTATCCTTGAAGTCATACTTTTATGTACTCTACTGGGATTTTATGTTATAGACCAACCTTAGTAGTACAACACTGTTGTTAATAATTTTAACAGAGTATCAAGAAATATAAATTGTCCAGTCTTTCATAAATCCCCAACTGGACTTAAATGTGGGACATTCTAATACACACATACACTTTGATTTAAACCAGTAATTCGCAGTCAGGGTGTTTACTGGCCCATGTTTTAGCCATGTCCCTACTTTAGCGCACCAGATTCAGTTGCATATAATACTACCTCAGTGTACCATATAGTCTTAGACATTTAAAGTGAAAAGAACGACGGGAGAAAATACTGCAATAACTGAGTTCAGACATGCAGGCACAGGAACACAGTGATGTGAACAACAGTCTGGTTATATGGATGACCTAAATCATGCAGAATTGTCTACTGTTTGTGGACACTGTAATGCAAAACATGTATCTGTCCGTTTGGAAAAGGAAACACCTCATTACAGTAATAAAAAAAACATGCATTACAGAATGCAGAGATAGTTTAAATTCATTAGGTCATTTGCAGGTTCTAAATATGCAACAATGTGAGTTTGTGTACCCTTCTAAATCTGACAATGGAACAGATCTGTTACTAATATAGCTAGCAACGTATTTCTGCACCAACCCTATTACTCACAAAACTGGTTATTTATACAGGAAATAAGGGAAAACCTCATCCACATATTAATGGAATAGCTTTTCATTCCTAAATGCAGGATGGTTTGAATTTAGTAGAATAGGCGAGTGCAAATGTGGTCATCTAAAAACATTTGCGAAATATGATGTTATAAAGAAATAGAGTAATAAAATAGTCACACTGGCTATAAAAGATGATCAGGAATCATACAATACATCTGTTAAATATGTTAGAAATAAATGTTTCCTTTTGAGTTTACCTTTTATACTGTATTGAATTCCATATTATAGCTTCGTAGAATAAAAAAATATAATTGTAATCTGTGTGATGTG